AACTGAGAAAATCGATGACATAATAAAGTACCAATTTGAAATCAAGGCTACATGAACTGAAATGCAGAATAATTTATAGGTAATCAACAGTAGAGTAGAGGACGCTGAGAATCAAATCAGCAATTAGGAACATGAGGAAACAAAAAACACCCAACCAGAAGAGCAAAAAGAAAAAAGAATCCAGAAATATGAAGACAGTGTAAGGAGCCTCTGGGACAACTTCAAGAGGCCCAACATTCCTATTATTGTGATTCCAGGAGGAGAAGAAAGAGAGCAAGAAATTGAAAAACTATTTGAAAAAATAATTACAGAAAACTTCCCCTACCTGGGGAAAGAAATAGACTTACAAGTCCAGGAAGCACAGAGGGTCCCAAACAAGAGGAACCCAAAGAGGCCCACAGCAAGACACATCATAATTAAAATGCCAAAGGTTAAAGACAAAGAGAGAATCTTAAAAGCAGCAAGAGAAAAGCTGTTAGTTACCTACAAGGGAGCACCTATACGACTGTCAGCTGATTTCTCAACAGAAACTTTGCAGGCCAGAAGAGAGTGGCAAGAAATATTCAAAGTGATGAAAAACATGGAACTACAACCAAGATTGCTCTACCCAGCAAAACTATCATTTAGAACTGAAAGTCAGATAAAGAACTTCACAGATTAAAAAAAAAAAAAAGCTAAAGGAGTTCATCACCACCAGACCAGCACTATAGTAAATGTTAACGGGTCTTCTTTAAGAAGAAGCTAATGAACAAAAGAATCTGATGAACTAAATAGATCCAGAGACATTGACACAGGCAACAGATGGTCATATTTCAGAGAAAGAGGGAAGGGAGGTGGAAAGTGGGAGGAGATTAACCAAAGAAGTTATACGCATATATGCATAACCCATGTACACAGTCAATAATGGGGTGAAGGCCTGGGGAGGGGGTGGGAAAGAGGTGGAGGGGGTCAATTGGGGGGGAAAAATGGGACACCTCTAATACTTTCAACAATAAAGATAAATTTAAAATAAATAAAACAACCCCCAATATTTTTACTGTCTCTGTGGTTCTTTTCAATAATGTCATATAGCAAAGATTTTTTAAAAGGTGTATAGATTGAGAGGGGAAAGCCCATCATTCTGTTATCATCATTCATTAATTTTCAAATGATGGAATCTATGTGGCCCTGTAAAGACACTCATTTCACTCAAACACAGCACAATATATGAGCCAGCATTATCCTCATTTCTATAGAACTTTATTGTACTTATTTCTAGTAATCCTATCTGTGGGTGTGATTTAGAAATTAATTCCAATTCTTCTAGGAAGTCCTGGGACTAGCACAAAATTTCTAGGATTTTCTTTTCAGCAAATTGATAATGCATAACTTATTATTTTATAATCCAGAATGACTGGGAGATATAAAGGCCCCAGAAATAAAATCCTTGGGGGTCTTGGTCTTTGCTTAGAAGTTAAGGACTATGGAACTGCCTCTCACCCTCCATGTGGCTATAAGTCTAAGCATTGAAGAGATACGGTCTGCTACATATAAAGACACTCATTGTCAGTAGAATAATTATAAATATATATATTAATATTTGATATATATAAATACATGAAAAAAATTAATCAACATCTAAATAAACTAAACTACTGCTGTTAGTTTTCTCTTATAGACACAGGTTTCCTGTGATGCTTTGCTGAGGACTGGAATTATTTTTCAAACATAAAAGTTTACTACCTGCAGTAAGCAGATCTTAATGACTGTGACAGAGGTGTCAGAGGAATGCCATTTTCATCTAAGGCCCATGATACAGAATAGCTTAGTTTTCCCGATGTGAAAAGACAAAGTTCTTCAGTTTCATTTCCCTCAAGAAGAAAAGGCACATCTGTTTATAAAAGACATTAAAAACAAATAGTTTTAAAAGCATGCAATTTGAATACATTGTAGATGCCCGCCGACTTTTACCTGTGGAACACAAAGGAAGCTCTTTGCTGAGGCCAGGCCCCAATCTTAGAGCTCTCTGTCCTCATCCATCTAGGATACCTCCAGGCAGATTGCTTCAGACAGACTACAGAGAGAGCGAAATACTGACCTGATTACACAGAGATGGACAAGCTCTACCTTCCTCTTCTTATGGCTAGAAGCTTTTAAACCATTCTTTCTGGGAGTGGCTTCCAGCAAGAAAGGACCACAGGCAGCAGAGAGGCAGACAAGGTGCTCTTTGTCTCCTTTCCTACATTCCTGAGTGTTCATCTTCCCCCATTTTTTCCCTTCTATCTCCAGAGAGCTTAACAACTCTCCTTGAAACTTTGGCTGAGTTCTTAGTGCTCCCTAAATTTTTCACCTTGAGTCTTTTCTTCTGGGTCTCCACAGCCCTGTTTTTCTGCTTCATCTGAACTCTAGACAGACATACCCTCCCTCATTCTGTCTCATTTTCTTCTCTGTTACATATAAAGACAATTATTGTCTTAGTAGAGTAATTATAAATAAAATATTTTAAATATTTATAAACATAAATTTAAAAAATAAACCAACATCCACAAAAATGAAACTGTTCCCACTGCTGCTAGAGTTTCCCTTTGTAGACACAAGTTCATAGTCTTCCCTTCTCCTGGAGGCGGGCAGTTGCAAAGCTCCTAGGAAGGTGAGAGAGAGGAGTCCTGGGGGAGAGGGAGTGGGAGAGGGAGGTCACTGTTCTCACAGATGTGTTACCAATTTAACTGCTTGAGGAGTACACTCAATTGACAAAGGAGTGAACAGAAACAGCCCTTCTTTTCCTCTCTCCTTTTCTCTCTTCCCTTCTCTCTCTTTCCCCCTTCCCCTTCCTCCTCACTTCCCTATTCAGTTAAAAAACAGACAAACACATCCTGGAGCACCTTTAGGCTTCAGGAAAAAAGAGGCAGGGGCAGGGGCAGGGGTGTGGGCAGGGGCAGAGCAGTCTGTCCACTCAGGAGCAGAGCTCTTATCTCAAGATGACCTAGCAAAACCTACTGGTGT